ACAATCATCATAGACAATATTCAGACATATATCCAGGACTGAGATTCAAATAGCTAATACTAAATAATTGGTTTCCTTTCTAAAGAGAGAGTACGCAACAACAAGAAAGCCTGGTAACTATTAAGTAATAGAGCTGTGCGAAATTTCGCCAGCAGTTTCGTTTAGACTCGTTTCAAGCTCAAAACAGTAAAATCGAAACAAAACGAAGAGCTTCGAAACAGCCTCAAAACGAAACAAGGCAAGTCAAAATGTTTCGACATTTTCTAAACGTTTTGAGTTTCGAAGCTCACACTGGGCTTGCCTAAAGGGAAACAGAAACTAAAGGAGAGGGGGGAAGCAGGGGGAAAGGACTGCTCTCATTATTGACTCTGTAGCTGGCCAGTGACTGTCATCATTTCCTGAGGTCTCTTCCAATCCCCATGTTCTGGGGGAGGGATAGAAAAACTGCATAAAAGGCAGCATCGTTTGAAATGCCCTGCTTTCTGCCTTGGTGTCAGTTGAGTGAGGGCGCACCTTAACACACACACACACACACACGTTTTGCCTGTCAGCAGCTAGAGGTGCAAGGCCTCAGAACTCAAAACCCCTGCACCTATCTCCTTGACAGCTGGCAGGCTTCATGGCCACAGCAGGGCCTACCAGGTCTGCAGTTTTCACCACCCTTTGCCCCAAGACAGACACAGTCCCACAAGCAACCATGTCACAAGTTTTCCCTGTCAGCAGCCAGAGGTGCAGGGCCCCAGAACCCAGAATCCCCTACATCCATTTCCTTGAAAGCTGGCAGACTCCGTGGCCTCAGCAGGGGCTAGCAAGCCTGCAGCTTTCACCCTGTTGTGTGTTAAGTGTCACCCATGTCATGAGTTTTGCTTGTCAGCAGCTTGAGGTGGTTTCCCCAAAACTCCTGCACCTAGCTCCTTGAAACTTGACAGGCTTCATGCCCTCAGCAGGGGCTAGCATGCCTGCAGTTTTGACCCCACTGTGGCTTAACATATACACATGACATGAGTTTTTTGCTTTCAAGACTCTGAGGTGCAGTTTCCCTGAAACCCCTGCACCCATCTCCTTGAAACTTGGCAGGCTTCAGAAGGGGCTAGCATGCCTGCAAGTTTCATCCAAATCAGGCGAGAAATGACGAAAGTTATAGGCTGTTTCTAGCTTCCCCATTATAGCCTATGGGTGAAACTTTGAAACTGTTGTTTCGACAAAACGGAACAGCAGTTTCGAAACGAAATTCAAAACAAAACACTGTTCCATCAAAACACAAGTCAAAGCAGAACAGCGCTGTTTCGCACAACCCTAATTAAGTAAGAAGATTGTTGATACTATAGAAAACCTATACCAACTCCATAAAGCAGACTGAGCATACAACTGTAACTGCTATTAAAAAGTTCGGAAGACGTTCACAATTTCCACAGACAGAAACAAGATGCACAATTAATAAATGCCCAATATTAGATAGCAACCCAGAAATTTAGTAGAACCGAGAGAAGTTATGCGACCGAGTTACTACGTAAAATATAACTAGCCAGTGAAAAGGTTACGTGAGCCTAAGAACATTTTAATTGGAGTTTATTGCCCTATAGATCAGGGGTCAGTAACATTATTGGGCAGAGTGCCAAAAACACCTGCAACCTCAACTTATAAGGTGTTGGCGTGCTGTAGCAGATGCAAGAGGCCTGATCCTTGTTGCGACAGTGCAGTCCCAGCCCCTTTCCCACCATCCACCCCGAGGCACATATGCCTGCCATTGAAGCCTAAGCAGCTTGCAGCAGGCAGTGGGAAGGCTGCAAGCAGCTGCACTGGGGCCCATGGAGCCCCGGTCCAGCTCATTGCCAGCAGAAGGTACACACACGCTTCAAGGTGGACAGCAGGAAAGGGGCTAGGGCTGCGTTGGAACAACAAGGATATGGCCCCTTGCAGCTCCCCTGCATTTTTGCCCCAAGACATGCTTGCCAAGCAAAATGCCTGTGCGCACCACAGACTGCCACACATGCCAGGGGTTGCCTACCCCTGCTATAGATCCTGAGGGGGAGGGGATATATATCAAACAATTGTTTTTCTGCTACAAAGAATACTTGGATCATTTACAATATTAGGATTGATATATTTAAGCAGTTTAACATTCAGAAACAGCACCAATGAAAGATTCAGATGCTTGATGTTTAAACACATTCAAGTGAAGGTAAAATACAGAGTTCTTGCCCAAAACAGTTATTAGTTCCAGATACATTCATGTCTTAAAACCATTCATTTCAAAACTATAAATGGAAAAATAAGAATAATTGAATGTACTTATACTCTGCAATTCCAAAATTTATGTTCATAGGCTACCATCATAATAAATACTGATTCTTTTCACTTAAAAATTGAAAACAAAGACAAAAAAACAACTGATGAACTACTCACCTCTGGCTGAATTGCTTTAAATACAGGAACATCCATTAGTGTTATCTGACCCTGAAATGAAGGAGTCAGAAATTACAATCAAAATTAATTTTCCTTTCTTTTAAGCTATTATGTTACAAAATGTCTATCTTGTTTTACTACTTCATTTTGTTGCATCATCATAATCTGTTTGGAAATATCACAAAAAGATATATCATATCTATAAAAAGATATCACCCATAAAAATCCTTGCCTCTTGCATAATTCCTGGACCATCATGGCAAAAACAACATTTCAGTACTGTTATAATCGCTACTAATTCCTGAACTGCCATCTTTTTCATGGATTTTAACTACCAACCAAGCAGTAAGAATGAAAGCAATAGTTAAAAGTTGAAGATTAGAATTCAGCGTATGGGTTAAGGTAACAGTTAAAGGAGGCCAGACAAGCCTACCTCCAGAAGTCCATTTTAAGCTGTAATGAGCAACAGAACGATAATGTTATTCCAAAACTCCTTTGCCCTTCACATAAGATGGTCTATGCCCTTTTCACTCATAACAACCACAATAAAACACACTCTGTATGTCTAACAAAAATAATTCTTTTCTTAATTTTAAAAAACTATTCTGCCCTATATTGCAATTAAGGAATGAGACCGTTACAAGAGTCACAAACCCATGATTCTTGGTGCAAAATGCCAACCCAGGGGTGCTCAATCCCTGACCCATGGAGCCATGTCATCCAGCCCACAGGCCTCCTGCATGGCTCTGAAAATCTGACAGCCAGGGAGCAGTGGCATGATATATTGCCACTCCAATGCTTCCAAAATTTCTGGACCCATGGGATGAGCAGAGGCTGCAAGGGGCCAATCCTCCAGGCATGCAGGAGAATAACCAAGGGGGCTCAGGGCTGATCTGGGCATGAGAGACCTAGGTTGAGGCAGCACGAGGCTCAATCCAGGCAACAGGGTTTGGGTGAAGCAGCACAGGACCTGATCTGGCAGCATGGAGCCCAAGCAGTTCAGGGCCCAATTCAGCCTGTGGACCAGCTATGCACCTCTCATTCCATCTGCATGACTAGAAGATTGGGCACCACTGTCAAATATAAATATGATGCCAGTGCATGTGAAAACAGTCAAATTTGATTTGCGAAAAGTAACTGTAGGTAACCTGTCCTTATCAGTAAATCTGCCTGTTGGGATGTTGGTTTTCTAAAATTATAGCCATTTTCATTAGCTGCCTGCTACAATTATTTTTTACCCTGTTATGTTACCAGTAGGAGATGGTTAGGCTTTACCCCATAACAACAGGAACAGGCATATCGAAAAAAGAATACTGGCACCAGCTCAACTTCCTAATTAACCCTCAACTGGAAGGCTGGGAACATGTACGTAGCATCCATTAGATGAGCTTTTAAATGTCGCCCAAGAAAAATTCCATAGTTTCAAGGCAATGTTAAGAATTACAGAAGGCATTGAATAAATACAGGAAAAATGTTTCAATGTAGGAACTAATTCAATACCTTTTTGTGCGCTAAAAGGAATAAACAGGCTTCCTTTACTTATCAAAGGAGAACTTCATTTGCACTGTTCAGAAGAACATTTTGGAGGACTTCTCTCAAAAAGGTCATTTTGTAGCACTGAACAATAACATGGATCAAAATGCATAAGGAATCTCACTGTTGAGTGTTACTAAATTCAGTTATACAAATAAATTCACTCATGCAAGAACACAAAATTAATCAAATGTTCACTTACAAATTTCAATTTTCTATGGAATTTCATTTGCTTGGAAGAAGAACCCTAAAATCCAAATTCTGTAATTTTATCATGGTCTAATATTTCATTCTTAGTACCGGGAAATCTTCGCATTGATCTCTTTAATTGATCTTTTTTGTTTGCTGGTATTCAAAATTCCAAAGATGAATGCCAGAAGACAGGCCTCAAAGAACAATTATGATTTTCCTTGCCTTCACTCTAAAATCATTCCGTCCCTTCCTCAAATAAGCATCCTACTGTCAAACAAGAATTGCAAGCTGTCACTGCAAACCTGTACCTACTGCAAGGTGTGCAACCCAAATATTACAAGACTGTATTAGTGAACTGGAACTAATAACCAAAACCAACTAGCCTACTTTCATTGTCAACAATAGAAATCAGATATAAAAAGACAGAGCAGATGATAAAGCTGGATTTTTAAAAAGCAGAATACTCAAAGTTGCCAGAAATTCCCAAATATTAATTCTAATCGGTTATGTATTGCATGGGGATGGGTTGTTTTTTTGTTTGGGGGGGGGGGGGTCTTTTATTGGACCAACTGTATAGTTGGGATAAAGTTACACAAGCTTTGGAACTGCAAAAGCATTCTTCTTCAGGTCTGAGGAAGAAAGCAGTGTATTGTACATAGTTTTACTCACGTATGCCAAATAGTTCAGCTAGATAAATTGATGAAATTAACATAACAGGAAAAGCACATCAGCATTTGGATTTAGTATTTTTAATGTTGCGCTAATGCTATAAAAGAAAAGGTGAAGGGGAGGGAGAGGGAAGAAACTGTAAAAAAAAACTTGAAGTTCTCCATCAACCCTACCAACAAGACTGTAAACTGCATGAGCACTGGGTGTATGCTAAATATTCCACCTAACCTTGGTATCTTTCTTCTACAGAGTTTACAATGTCTGTTCAGATACCCATGAACCCACAAAGCAGTTCATAATTCAAAAAGGAATCCACAAGTTCCTTAATATAAAGTATTTGCCTTGCAGAATTAAGTCTATTTTCACAGTTCTGTCGAAAGTCTCCTTAAAGTCTTTACAAATGTGTGTTAAAAAAAAATACAATTGAAAAACTGCAAGTAGCTGTTCATATGAAACAAAGCTAACCACAACCCTTTTACTGAAAAGTAAAAAGATAACAAGCAATATAATTGTAAGCTTGTCAAACCTGTTCTCTGTCCTGTGGACTTGAGAATAAGTATTTGGAGTATACAAATCACAGTATTTACCCAAATTTAAGCTGACCCCAAATGTAAGATGAACCCCCCCCAATAATTAATTGTATACATAAAAAAATTCTAATTTTTTTTTTAATTTTCTATGTATAGAATCCAATTATTGGAGGATTATCTTAAATTTGAACTCCCTCCACCCCTCTTCACTGCTGCAACAAGAAAAGCAGTGGCAGGGGGACAGGCAGTAGGGGTGAGGATGGAAATAAATACATAAGCAAACAGTTTGACCCCTGTCCCTTAACACCTTGTCTCCTGCTGCCTGTCCAACCCCCACCACTTGTCTGCCACCCTGGAGTCTTGGATCCCCCATTCTCCCTCATCTACCTCTACCTCCCTCCCCCCATGGCTTACCCATGCTCCAGCCCTAGTCCAGCCTGAGGCACAGAGCCTGTTTGCTCCAGGCCCAGCTCAGGAACTAGTAGCCTATGAAGTTTCATCTGTGAAGCTTGTGGATACCAGTCAGAAAGAATGCCACAATTTTGGCTTCTAGTCTGTTTACTACTTCCTACATTAGCTTAGGAAAAGAAAATTAGCAAAAACTTACCTAGGTCATCAAGTCTAGTTCCATGTTGTCACAGACAATCATGTCACAGAATCCCACTCAAACTGATCAAGCTTCATCTCAAAAGCATTTAAGTTTTTTGTACATGCATTATGTACTAGAAGTGATATTTTCTTAGTGTGAAGGACCACCAGTGGACTATTCCTTTTGTGGTCCCCCTCAGTCCATATTTCACATCCTGACTCTTGGCAAAATACACCCTTTTATTTTCCAAACGGGCTGTGCTGGCAGCACTCTTGATTATTCTCACCAATGAGCAGCAACATGCCTGCAGTGGCCCAGGCCAGAAGCCAGGGGGTGCTAAAGCATGCCTCCATGCTTGGCTGAAGCAGACAGCTTGGGTCAAGACTAACCACCCACCCTGCAAAAAGGGCGGGAGGGCTTGCAGGGGAGATGCAAAACTTGAATCTGGAAGGGACCTGGGACAGAAGTTCAATAAATGAATTTAACCTAAATCAGTTAAGTCCAATACTACATACACGCAGGTTTGTCTTAAACAGGTTTTGGCCATTTTAAAAGCAGTTCATATGTACTGAACTTCTCTTGCGTTACAGATTTGAACCAGTTTCTGATCACTTACACCAGTTTTTGTGTAATTTCTGTCCCTAACCATTATGTGGTATGGACCAATACTGTTTGCCACAATGCAAACGGACACTCTAGATTCTGATGAATTGCAATGTTCTATTTTTCTTTGAGACTATTCATCCTGCAAGCAGTGCTTTGTAAATTGTTCCATAATCAGGTTTTCTATCACAAGGTTTACTTGCATTTTCCAACTTGGCTTAATATTTTCTATCCAAACTGCCAGAACTCTTCCCTTCCCAGAAGTAATAATATCCAGGCTTCTGTTAAGCATTTCATCAGTGGTATTTCTCTTCTGTGGCCCAAAAGAAACCTAACCCTCCATCTGCTTCCTGTCACTAGAGTGGTTGGCTAGGTTTAGCTAACCATGCACTCCACCCCATATAAACTCCTGCACAGGAACAGGAAGTGTTGAGATAACAGGGCTCAACTTGATGCTAAACCACTTTGCTGTTCCTTCCCTCTGGCTTGCTCTCTGCCTCATTTCCTAGCTTTCTGATTTGGCTTGTTCCTAGACCCTGACCTTAAACTGACCTCCTCCTGGCTTCCTGACATAGCTGTCCCTGAATTCTGCTAGCTCCTGACCCTGGTTGGCACCTCAATCCCAAAGGCTCCAGACTTGGCCACCCATGACCTGGCACGACAGATACCACCTGTTGTTCATACAAGAAGCATTTTTAAATTTTCTACTAATTTTGTGGTTTTTGTTTTTTTTAAACTTAGCGAAACAAAACTCATCCAGAGAATTAGGAAAATTTAAAGCTTCTTCCCTACACAAGCCCTAGGGTTTTTTACTACATTCTCTCAGATACAGAGACTGGCAGTGGTTCCGTGACATGCTAACTCAACCCAATGGATGTTAGAGCAGTAGGTGCCCACTCTGCCACTGACTTAAACTGCATAAAGCAGTTCACACC